AAATATCTCATAAGAAATAGACGATGATATAAATAGCGATAATTAAAAATCTGTTAAAAAACATAATTAAATTTCAACATAGTTAGTATAGGATCGATCCATTAAAACCTTCGATTGCAAAAATAATTATAAGTTCTTTAAATTTCATGTACATGTTTGAAATTTTATATTTTTGAAGAACAGTGTAATTTTAGACCAGAACCGAAGATTATTAAGTAGAAATATCTAAATTTCAAGGCTTACTTTGTTATCTTGAGAATTTGACTCATATGTATTTGAATAGTTCTAATTGAGTCACCACGAGAAGTGGGCGCAGGCGCAGCCTTGCTATAGCACAAGTGTACGTAAGATATACATATAAGGTTAAGAGTGGGCAGGACATAGCGGCCGTTGCGGTTAAGAGGCACTTTAGTTTATTCAAAACCTTTGTGTTTTTACAATACTTTTGAATCAACCGAAATGCCTTGTCTCCTGAATCGTTATTCATTTTGGTATTACTACATAAATTATGTAATTAAAGAAATAAAAAAGCTTATTTTTTTATTTATTTAAAATTTTAGAGAGCTTTGTACAAGCTAAAAGAATCACATGTCAGTCTCATTGTACTAAAACTAATTATTCTATTAAAAATACCTTACTAGGACGAATATTTTTCAAATACAAAAATAATTTGTAATTTATAAATGACGAAATATATAAAGCAAAAGAAAAAGAATAACCGAATTGATCAACTACTCCTTTTTTTTAAAGCGTTTAAATATAAAAGTTCATAGAACAAACAGAAATTTCTTACTTGAATTCTGTTTGAGGAATCTAAGAATACTTAAATTATTATAAAAAAGGAGGTTCTTCTTTAGGTTAAAAGTCAGAGTACATACATAAGATAGATACATAACACCTAATAAAGGTACCAAGTAATTCTGGACAAGTACTTACATAAAATTGAATTCTGGATTCCTTATGATAATATTGTGTCACTCAATCATAGTGCATTGGCGTGAACGCTATGAACTCTCGCAGCTATATTACATCAGAGATAACTAACATTTTGTCGCGTCTTCCTCAATAAAGTCTAGTTGTTACGTCTTATAAATTGATTACTTGGTTTGCGGTTGTGACAATAACCGGCCATACGTAATTGAGTTGAAGAGAGTCTTGTATAATCGTGTGATAATCTTAAAGCGCCAAGTCTAAGTATTTTTTAGATGTATCTGTATCAGCGAATTAATTTATATTGAATGAATACGTATATTTAAAATTTATATTTCTTTTTTTGTTTATTCTTACATAAGTCGATAAATATCATTACATCTGTTTCCAATTAGTAGGCAGAGATTAATGTCTAATGCTCCATACCTTTTAGTTTCCTACAATCAATCTATTCATATAAATTCGCCGGTTACGGGTACTTGTTATTTGGCCCTTTTAAAAGAAGTTGTTTATACGATACAAATTGTTGTTATTGTATTTAACGTATAAACAACGTAATTATATTATTTTATATACTAACAATTATTTAGAAATGTTGAATAATATTTCCAGACACATTAAACCGCTCTTTTGTTGTTATATAAGTAGACCACAAGAATCTCATCAAAGATAGAATGTTGAGTTACGTGTAAACTTTGCACTCCAGTGTCAGTTAAGTCAGCTTCTTTTGCCCAGAATAATGATGCCGTGATGATATTCATAGTGTATTATTTAGCTGTTACCGTAATCGTCTACACAAACTCTCCAGATAAATTTTTACGATAAAATATGGCTTACATCCCCTTTGACAGGATCTAGCGGGCGGGAACTGGGAACAAAATAAGCGAGTACGGGTTAAGTTTCCTAAAATTCTCCAAGATTCTTTATTTTTCTGTCCCTTAAAAGCTTCAACAAAGTTTAGGAAAACAATTTAAAGAAAGTTGAATGAAGTCTTTCTAAAATTATATCGTGATTAAGAGAAACAGGGATTTATAAATAAATATAGATATGTATTCTGTGATATAAGTCTTAGACATAAGAGACGAAAATATGTCGAAGATGAAATTGTGGTCAGCTTGTTATTGATATTTTAAACATTATCTACTACTATGTAGATTAATTAGACCAAATACTATATATACTATGTACAATAATATATGAGAATATTGAACAGCAAAGCAATTATTGTACAAGTTATTCAAAACAAAATGATCAATGCCAGTCGTTCTCGCTAATCCTTATCTCTGTCAGTTTTCTCTTTCAAAGCGATAGCACTGTCATTATCTTGTTTAGTCAGTAAAACGAGCAGTTCAGGTTAACTGCAATTAGCATACACCATAACAAACTGAGCCTCACGTGAACACTCGGCTGCGTTTACTTTCACCTATTGCAATGCCACGCACCAATTATTGACGACACCTGACCCGACTTTGTAAAAAAATGCTCATTGCAAACAACAATGAGTATTTTTTAGACAATTATAAATTAACTAAAAAACATATGTTACTTATATTAATAAAAATATTAGTTTCTTTATATTTACTGTATTCTGAAAACACTGGGATTTTTTTACTTTTTGTTTTTTTTTATGGCTTGTAATTCTGTATATTTGCCAATATATAAAGTTTGGGACACAATTTTTCTGGTAAAGGAAATTTTGGATGATTTAAAGGTAAATCAGGTAGTTTGACAAAATGATTAAAATAAGATACAAAAGTAGTATTAACTATGTAGTTAATACTACTTTTGTATCTTATTATTTAATTATTATAAGATACAAAAGTAAATAATTAAGTAAAATATAAGTTTTAAGTAAAATAAAAAGTAATTAAGTAAACTAAAGTATTTAAGTAAAATATAAGTTTTAAACGTTTTATATAAGTATAATGACATATTGTACCTATATATTTTACACACAACTATTTATATGTTTGTATGTATATTTGAATTTTTATATTTATAAAACAATTTATGTATTGTATATTTTTTCATATTTTTGTTATTTTTATCAATTATACATTAACTAGTTAATTAACTCATGCGAACCAGTTATTTGTTGGCGTGACTGTTATAAATAATTGACTGGTATGCATGATAGATTTTTATTTGAATGATACTAGACTAATGAGAATTTTATAAAGTCGTTATTTATTATCACTTTTAAATCCACTATTTTTATGCTTTGTGATATCCATTTAATAGATAGAGACATACACCTATAAGCTTTATCCTTAATTTATTTTATACCTTAATTTAATTTAAAGAAAATCTAATACCATGCAAAGATACTTTAAAACAGTCTGGTTTTAAAGTTATCTGCGTGCGTCCCTTAGTCTAATCTACCGGCCTTACATCATAACGTATATCACATAGTACGGCATTTTTACCTGTCGACATTGAGGTGAGAGTGATACTTGAAATGTCTAGTTATTTAATTAGAGTACTAGGGGACGGCGCTATGTGTCTTGTATTAATTTAGATTTATTGTTTCCATCATATGGGAGTATCAGAAATATAAAATTGCTCAGTTTTTTGGCGCCAACCAAATTCGAACTCACGACCTTTGACGTCTCAGTCGGAGAAGTAAACCACTGGACCACGACGGTCTCAAGATAATAGTATATATTACAATTGTTACTATTGTAGGCACGTGCGGTTCATGATCAAGTCTAACAAGAACAAGTCACCTGCATTCAAGGTTGGCTGTTGGGAACTAGAGCGGTATTATAGAACTCTTATTTATTATACAGATAAGAAATGTTTAGACTTAACTACATCTCAATGCGGTAGTTATAATTCTAACTAATATATCCTAATTATTCCCGTATCTATGCTAATTATATTAAGTTATAAATGCGCAAATGAGCATATTTGTTACACTTTCACGTCTAAACCGTTGAATTAAATGTTGTTTTACTATTTTAATTATTTCTCCATTCTTTTTTATAATTATTACATTACGTATAATTTGTCTTTCTTAGCCTCAGCTGCAATTTAAAAAAATATTTTTTATTTGATCTTTTTATGGCATCGTCCGATTTGCTTAAAATTATTCTTTCCTAGTTGTGCCCGTGGTTTCACCCGTGTGAAATTTATAGCCTATCATGTATAAGCTATTTTACTGTAAAGTTTCATCAAAATCCGTTTAGTAGTTTTTGCGTGAAACACTACCATCTATCCATTCTCACAAACTTTCGCGTTTATAATATTAATAAAATAATTAATGACGTAAAGTCTGCATATTTCTTTGTACTTAAAAACGTATGGAATAAAATTCTAGAGTAAAAATCAACACAAACGCGAGCGAAGCCGCGGTTTTTAACTCTAGTTTATTTAAATATAAACTAATTATATTATGACATATTAATATGTATCGAGACGTGAAAGTTTGTAAAGTTGTTTGAATATTTATGTATTACTCAATCATGCTTAAAAGCCTGTATATATTATAACTATATGTAGGTATAATAAGTGTACATATATGCGCTGCATACAGAACACTTTTTGTAATAAATCAAAGGGATAAATTTACAAATTTTAGTTTGAATAATATTATTTATTCAATAACTATTACACAAACGAAATTTCGTGGCAAATTAATAGCGGGTTTGAAATATCGTGTTTCATAAATCATTTACTAAAAATATAGTCCATTTACTGAATATCTATTCCATGGTTATTAAATTTAGTAGCAATATGATAATTATTATTACATCATACAGGTAATACATATACAGTTATCTGTGGTAATACTTAAACATGGCATGATTTCTGAAGTGGTAACGTAATAATTACGAGGGGAATATATATGGTACATTCAGATACGGTTATATCACTATACAAACTTATACACCTTCTGTACGTTTTATATTTCAAAATATTGAAAAAAATACAATTATTTATTATATACATGGCTTGCCAATAAAACAAAAGAATAAATGCATTTTAAAAATAGCTGTCATTTATTATTACATTATTATGAACCTCGATTTAAAATTCTCTTCTAATATATACGTATAAAATATACTCACATTATCAGATGATATCGCGCTGTCACTCAATGAAATACCAAAAACGCATAGACAACATAACAGCGCACTAATTTTTCGAACCATTTTGCACAATTACACAAAATTAACAATAAATATTCCAGAATTATTCACTTGAATTTCAAATATAGAATTTTGTTTATACTTTTTAAATTATTAATCGCAGGCTGAGCGTACGGCGAAAGCTGCGCGGCCGAACACAGTGTGGAAGCTGAGACGTGAATGTGTCGATTTTTGAAAGGCCCGCGTAGGAGGGTTTCCCGCCGATTTCATTTGACCGCGTTCCGTTTCACGCATTGACGAACCATTCGTATTTAATAATTTATCTATTATTATAACTATTGTTTAAGTAAACTATGAAAAAAATTAGTTTAAATAATATTTCTATAATATGTATTTTTTTTTCAATATGATAATAACATAATCACAAAGTAATATTAGGATATAGGTACTTTAAACTAACGACGTATCAGGCGTCATTATCTAACAGTGACTTAATCAGATAAGTCTGTACCTTTATCCAGAATGTATAAGGAAAAATAACTAAATACTATTGCCAGTTATACTTATTAAGCTAAAGAAGTACTAAAAAATATGCATTTAGTTCTCATCAATGCTAGTAGCATTGATGAGAACTAAATGCATATTTTTATGCCACTACTACTAACTGACTATTACTACTGAACATATACTGTGCTGTTCGTTTGTGTTTTTGGAAATAAACTTTTATTGTTGTTCTGTAGACCACAGAGCAATTAACACTATATTTAATTATTATTAATTAATATAATATTTGGGACTGAATTTACGAATAAACCAAAATTTTATGTATATAGCAACCAAAGAAGTAGTAAGTATACCAGTAGCAACCATTAGATCTAAAAAAGAAGTAATCACATAGGTTCACGCGAAAATTGTTTTATTTAAAGGCTGCAGGCTTGCAGATTTGTAAGGAAATGTTTTAAAATGGATCTATGCAAAATATTGGATAGAATATATATCAAAACACAACAATGTATTGTTCAGAAAAAGTACCTAAATTTGTACTAGAACGTTCTATCTCTAAATAAATAAGTATGTGACATTGGCAATATAATGTGCATGATATTGTAGGGACAAAATATTTATAAGTCAACGAACATGTAAATAACATATGTACTTAAACATATACTATGATACGAAGTGATCTTATAAAATGCTTATGTAGATTGCAACAATCAGTATTTAATGAGTCTTTGAACAACAAACTTCTCCAGTTGTTATCATACACATTTGTAAATAATACGAGTTCATAAACATTGTTAAGGTATATCGTCATAGTGATTATGGGAACAGAATGGATGAAAGATCCTGTTATTCAAAGATTCAGAGAGTATTTAAAAATTCCCAGTGTACATCCAGACGTAGACTACGGTGAGACCTAGAATATATATACTTTTTGAAAATAAACTTAATTTAAACACTTCTGAAATAACAATCTCATTTTTTTTAGTTTTTACATGCAATTTTGTCCGCGTGGTATTGCTAGCTTGAGATGAAAGTAGTCATAGGCCTTTTCTATCTTTTATATCTTAACGAAATAACAGTTTTCGTGTATATCAAATTTAATTGGTCCAGTTTAATAATTATTATTATTAGGTTGATTTTTCTCAGCAGATAATGTAAAGTACAAGTAGATACAAGTCAATACGTGTCTTCTATTCTATTTAGCAGACCGAAAATTCATTTAATTTGTATTTCGGTGACCTCGGGGTGCTGCGCACAGTGATGTCCTTAGCTCCGTTGATCGCGGGTTCGATTCCCGCGTATTACAAAAATTTGCTTACGTGTATGTTTATATGTATGATGTAGAGTCTTTTTGCTATGTATATTTTGTACAATAGTAATTACAAAAAAATTAAGGTTTATATTTTTATGCTATCTAATCGACCTATAGTATGAGTTTGACTTTATTTACGACTGTTTATGTATATACGATGGCTCTGTTTGACATTACAATATATTTGTACGTATTAACAATATAATGTAATGTCCAATAATATAATTATCCAAAACTATCTAATCTAAAACTTAAAAAGAACCAAATTAAAAAAAATACACTAACCGATTGTGTGCTATAACGATATATGCTATGAAGGAGATTGTGTGATCTTCCTCAAGAAGCAAGCGAGTGAGATCGGCTTACCAGTGGTCGTTCATGAACTCGTACCAAGGAAGCCGGTCGTGATCTTCACATGGATTGGGTTAAAGCCACAACTGCCGTCAATACTGCTCAATTCTCATATGGACGTGGTCCCTGTTTATGAGGTAAGTTTTTTTTATATCCAGAGCCTATCTCCCCACCATTTAGGTGGGCCTTCGCCTAACTTAAAGTTAAACTTATAGCTAGTTGGGTAGGGGATCCGGGATAAACTATATCCGGATATTAATTTCCAGGCTTTTGACTGCTACTGTTTATACACAGGTAAGATTGTGCAATGTAAAAAGAAACACAAATTGCTGTATTTGTGTTACTTTTTACATACATAAGTTAGGTTAAGTTTTAAACATAGGAAACAAGACCAGCAAAGAAATTGATTAAATCCAGAGGGCTGTTGTAGCCGAGGAACAAACCGGGGCAAAGAGGTCCCAACCAACACCCTCCTATATAATATGTTAGGTATTGCGTTCAATGCACCAAGACGGTGCCTGACATATTCACATTTCCCTGTCAATATTTCAAATCAACCTAACAGGGGTAACTCTATCGCTAACTCTTGGATTAATTCGGTTTGTTATCGATGTTTTCATCACCAGAATTTTTTGGTTTCAGGCAGATTCAATCTTACAACCTTTTTGTCTAACAAGTGAAGCTCTTGGTCGGACACATTATCTATGAATTGAAAATTTCCGAAATGCTGGTGGAATAGTACTAGATAATATTGTATATGCTATTAAATATCATATTCATTTGTATATATACACATGTATTTAGATAAAGTATAATTCTATAATTATAAAGCTACAGTTGTAAACAAGAAGTGTAGATATACACTATACTGTGTATATACCTATACAGGTAGCTTTAAATTATCTTAATTTGTTTATATAAATATAATTAGAGTTTATATATCTTTAATGATAAGACTTGACCGTGACCCTTTAAAATAATGTAATATTTGTCCTGAGGACAAAGGTAATATGTCTCTATCCACTAAGTTAATTGCTCGAAAATTTTTTATAGTTCAGAATACAGCTTGAAGCTAGTTTTTAATATAATAATATCCTTTACAAATTAATAACAAGTATTCAGTTTTATTCAACCCTTTTTCGCATTAAAAAGTAACCTATGTCTTTTCTCAAGGGCTAGACTAGTTTTGGCGTGAAAGCGCGACATATAGACAGACAGTGCTACTTTCGCATTTATAATATTAGTAAGAAGTAAGATTAAAATTAGAAAATTCACCTTTTACCCAAAAACACATCTTAGTCAAGCATCTTGTTTACAGACAGATGAGGAGAGATCCACGCAGACAACCTTATACAAAGTCTACCTTTGTAACATAACTTATTGATGGTATTTTTGCATAGGAGTACTGGTCGCACCCTCCTTTCGACGCAGTTATAACCGACGATGGGTTTCTGTATGGTCGAGGAACACAAGATATGAAAGGAGTCGGAATGATGCATTTAGAAGCAGTCAGGCGGTTGAAGAACTCTGGAGCGAGACTCCAACGAACTGTTCATATATGTTTCGTTCCTGGTGAGTAGGTAGATATAATCTTTTTTTTTAGATCTGTTCTCAAATTCAATTAATAGAAATCTATTTTCAGTGTTGAATATTAAATCAGGAGTGATGAAATGTAAATACTTCAGAATGATATCATCATATTAATTTATTATTAGTATTTCTGAAAGGTTTTTTTTAATCGTATGTCGTTACCGATTGTAAAGTCTAAGGAATGCATACTCAACTGAATGAAATCTAGCATGCTTTTTTCGTTTAGGCATTTTCTTAGTATCCTAAGGATAACAACAAAAGCAATAGTTGTTAATATTAGACTCTATAATGGATTTGACGTTGTCCTAAATTTAAAAATTACTTGCAAATACAGTAAAAAATTTGTCTACATATATATATATTATATGTACTTTTAAATTAACATGCCACTTGAGAACCTTTATTCGTCATCGATAATTATTATTATTATTCTTCAAGTGATATAGCCGGTCCATATAAGTTTGCTAATTCTTTGGACTGCGTTGATCACTTAAGTGGCTAGTACTTAAGTACTTAAACTTAATCGGATTAAAAGTCTTTAATCTGCAATTTTACCAAATATTTGTTTTTTTCTACATAACAGAACATCTGACTAATATGGATTTTAGAAGCAAAAGATTGTGAGTTAGATGTTTGTTACTCTTTCACGCAAAAACTACTGAACGGATTTGAATAAAGTAATCTAGCTTCTACATCAGAATAATGCATAGGCTATAATTTAAAAGTTAGTATGTAAATTGGAGGAAATGTAATAATAAATGTCAATATGTGTGATATGGACGAAGTTGAGCGCGGAACAGGTAGTTCTAAATAATTCGGAATACCATTTCAGATGAAGAAACAGGTGGTATTGATGGTATGCGAAAATTCTCGGAATCGGAAGAATTCAAGAAGCTCAATCTGGGATTCTGTTTGGATGAGAGTATGCCCAGTGAAAACAATAAGATATTAGCTTTCAACGGTGAAAGAACAAGCAGACGTAAGTATATAACTATTCCTAACTAAAAAAACACTAAATTATCTTCTTTCGTTTCAATAACAACTGAATGTATTTATTCCAAACCTTTTGCGATGACGTTTGCGCATTCGGTCGTATTTGTTAAATCTTCCTTTGTGCGGGATGATGGGCACAAAAGAGAAGACAATAAGTATATCATAGATCTGGTATTACGCTCCGTTGTCGCAGGACTGTACCCTATTTTACTAGATTGTACCTGCAGTAGTCCAGCTGGGTTCGCAGCATACCGATGATAAAATAACTTATCAAAAAGAAAGATTTGGTAGTAATGCGATCTGGATGGGTCAGATCTCATTACTATCAATATTCTATTAGATCGATCGCCATGAGTTTTCTCCTGACAATTACTCGTACCTATAGTTTTTATCCTGGTGACCATAACAACAGATTTTGTCTCATCCTAATCCTAACATTTATACTAGAACTACCTATAAGTGTTTTAATGAATTCAGACATTTTCCAATAGACGTTAAGTGTTTTTAATGCATTAACATTATCTATAATTTGAATAAATTTGCTAGACACTAAACTTACATATAACATTTTTAAAAAATTCTCAAATACATATATGAGCTTCCATATTAGGATCTCCAACAACAGCCAATTGATCATCATCTATACTGTCTTCGCGGCACGTAATCATTCTAATAAAAATAATAGAGTATAGAGAATAAAATAAAATAAAAAATATGTAGCATAATGACTTTTCTAAAAAGTGCTAAAGTAAGAATTATTCTGTGATTATTAAATCCTTTATAACCTTCAAGATTAAAAGCAACTCATATATTATTGCATTTACTTTTCGTGCAATATAAATAGCCCATAGAATATAAATATGCAAAATTACTTGCATTTTGAAACATATCTTACACAAGTATATTTGTTAATAATACTTAAATATTCGATATTAACATCATCAATTAAATATTATTTCAGCTATTTGCTCATTATTATAATTTTTCCTATGTTTCTCCACAAAAACATGTCTCAAATGTTTTTAGGGTTCAAAGTACATAATTAAATTATAAATATTTATTTTATTTACAGCGATCAGAAAGATCGTACCGTTTAATTAATTAATTAAATCTTCAATCTCACATATTTATTAATTAAATTTAATAACAACAGATAACCTGGATCAGCGCGAGGCGTTAATAATATCTGCTCTAGAATTTGTTGCAACGAACAATTAAGTAAGATGTGCATCTATGAGACATTGCGTTTTATACATTGATCGATAATACAAACTAGATAAAGTCACACGAACATAGTGGGACGTAAAAGTATATTATATTCTAAAATAATGTAGGTATAATATTAATTTTAGTTATGAATAATGTTTTAATTTTATAATTATCGAAACATTAATGTAATTTAAACCTTAAACACAAACAATAAAGTACAGTTTATTATTACACACAGACATCATCAACTTAATAGAAATCATGAAAGTAATGAAAATAAAATATACTAATATTTATATTAATACAATTATAACGATGGTAGTTGAAACTATATTAAATATTTTTAGAAATGTGCAAAATATCTACTATATTTCCTACATTAAATCGAAAACGAGGGTAATTATTTTCATCTTCACATAAACAGAAAATGGACAAATACACAGTCCATTTTCTGTTCAAGTGTAGGCATTTCATATAAAAACTACTGGAATACATGTATTTACTTAATTTTTCATTACTATTTATTTTCCAACAGATTTTACTCTATATATCAGTAAATTTAAAACATTTCTAATTCTACATGTCATCATATTTATGAATATTGCTTTTTCAAAATAAAAACGTACTCTGGAAGCGAGGCATATGCGCTCATTTTTTTTTAACGTTTTGACGTTATCTAGTCGATATTATACATCCATGACTGTAGGCTTATCAAACTGACCCGTCTACTTAGTTGCTTGTTTTTTTTTTTTTTTTATGGATGATAATGGAATGGCTGTCCCGCCTGCGCTAACGGTTTACGCTGGCGGGGCACCAGTGGAGGATGATCAGATTGTTTGCCCATCGTGATATAACATCACACCCTGACATGGTCGTTGCAAATGATTAAAAACAATGCCAACACACCAGTCGTTGCAAATGTTAAAAACAATAAATAAATTAAAATGTAGAAACAGTTCTGGCGGTATGTGGAACGGGGTTAGCAACTTAGTTGTGTATGGTTTCGGAATCGGTAAAATTTTCGTGTCCGCTAGATTGGAACTTATGACCATACACTGAGATTCTAAAAGTTAATGACCATAAACCTCCACTTGAGTTTAAATAATCTATACTTATAAAATCATTTGTCCTCTCTGACTACCGATGTACAGCTTAAACTACAAGTTAAAATTGATTCTACACATGTTTATTTTATACTATACGCAATTTTTTTAGAAATAATCATATTGACTACATATCAGCGATAGCAATTGCGAACAAAAGCTAGTCTATAGATAAAAACATGTACTTTAAACAAACTTTAAAAATTGTTGACTGTCATACATTTTAGAAAAACGATGTCATGATGGAGATATCATTTTTGAGAGTAATTAAAATTTGAAAATAATTGTTTATGGTGTGCTACGATTGAATTTCGGATACAATTTACTTTATTCTTATAACAATGATAAAACAGGGAGACGGAATGATAAAGACTAATTTTATTTTTGTTCTGTTTGATATGATTTAATATGAATATCTCCTAAGTTTAAACTAATTGATTATAGAAATTAAGATAACATGCAAAGCAGCGCCTGCACATGGAGCGCTGTTAGAATCTAATACCGCTGGTGAAAAAGTAAGTAAACATTTCTAGTACAAATACAAGGGCATAAAGTCTAATAATTACATTTTGGATGCCTGAGTAGTTATAACGGAACTTGGCTTACAATCAAACTGCTTTACTCCAACATTAAGTAAGTCTGTTACTCATATGGATAACTTTATATATAGACAATTTTGAATAAATTGTGATATAAAAAATCTAATATCAGTGATTTATTTTATGTTCTTCCAGTTATATTACATAATTGATAAGTTTATGAAATTACGAGCAGAAGAAAAGAAGAAGCTTGATAATGGAACCCCTCTTGGTGAAGTGACTACTATAAACATGACACAAATTGAGGTAATAAATCGAATCAAATCAAAGAAATCCATGGTAATATATATTATCCCTTTACATATTAAAAGAAATAAATAAATACTTAGGTTTATAAAAACATAAGCATTTACGCTACAAGAAGAACAATATTGCTGCGGAGTTCACAATTGCGATTGGTGAACATTATATTATTATGTAATATAGTAGATATATTTTGTATGAATATGTAATATGTCTCACATAAGGTTTAATTCAATATCTTTGACTATTTATTTGATTTATTCTATAAATCTATGTCCGTATTAACTAAAAATAAGTCCTACCAGCTAAATTGTACTATTAAATATTGCAGGGTGGAGTGCAAATAAACGTATTACCAGAAAGCTTATCCGTATCTTTCGACATCAGAATTGCGCCTGAATATGATCATGCTGCATTTGAAAATATGGTATATAATATTTTGACTCCTCATAAGTCGATCAATCATTATAATTTTTATATTTATGGACGATATATAATTTCTTTTTCCTTACAATTAATATAACATTTCGAAATTAATTAATATGGAATGTACTTTACTAATTTTTAATTTCAGCTATTTGCTACAGTCTAAAGAACAAATATAATAATCTATAATAGCAATTAAGAAATTATGTTCAAGTTATCTATATGCTTTACTTTATTTTTGTAATTTGAAATTGATGATAAATTTATTCCAGATATCGACATGGTGCAGAGAAGCAGGAGACAATGTCAGTTTTGAATATATTGTAAAAAATCCTGAAGTAAGAAGCACTAGAATTGATGGTTCTGTTCCATTCTGGAATGTTCTTAAAACATCGATTGAAACATTGTAAGTAATTTTTAATAATTCACTATACTTTTTAGGATTATTTGCAAATAATCTACTTCCTATATCCATAGGAAGTCTAATCAGTATAAAATTAAAAAAAAAATATGCAACAACGAAAATATATGTAAATAAAATTGGATTTTGTAAATTAAATTTATTACAAAAATGTGATATAATACAATAGTTATACTTTACAGGGGTGTACCTATTAAATGTATTACGTGTCCAGGGGCAACAGATGCCCGTTACATTAGAAGGCAAGGCATTCCAGCAATAGGCCTCAGTCCTCTTATTAGTACTCCTCAGCTACTGCATGCACATGATGAAAGAATTCACGTTGAAGTCTACAAGCAAGGTATCGATATAATGGAGAAAATAGTGTCAGCTGTAGCTAACGTTTAAGTAATATTGTTTATCGATATAAATAAATACAATACCTGACTTTAATATATAATACTAATAAATATTTACATTGTGTTATTATAAATACATTTATAGGAGTTTTATTTGTGTAATTAATAATGATAATTCTGATTTTATTTAAATCTATTTACATTGAAATTGCACTTTCAATCTAAAGAAGGAGATTCTAATTCTTTAATGTAAAGAATTAGAGTTATTTTCTTTTCGTGTAAATTGTGCAACAGTGTCTGTTCTTTTTACTAAGATTTATATTTTTAGTATATTTATATACATGCAGTTATCATAATTAGCATAAAACAGTTATCATAATTAAAGCCATACTTTGTGTAACAAAATCTATTTTATTAGTAAAACGCCTTTGATGATACAAATCGCAAATTCTACAAAAAATAATATTGCATAACTTACTTGTAAAGGATACAATTCGTACATGATCAGAAACGGGGTGGTGTAATGACCTAGCATAGCAAATCCTACGTAGACTATAAACAGAATTAGTGACAATATGTTTGGGGCAAGTTGGGAATATATAAGAGAGCCTATACACATTGTAGTAACACCAAGTCCTGAAAACTTTTAAAATTAGACACGTACTTAAATTAAAATTGTTACATTAATGTATATTTATTGTTAGTTATACAAAATGAAGGCTAAGCAAATGAAATGTAATGTTGATTTTTTTAAAGGATTTAAACATTTTTAGTAATGATTTCATTACTCACATTAGAAATGTTTTGGTAAGAGAAAGTTTTTTATCATGTAATAGCACTTCTTATTGTACAATTTAGTATAACATTATTCTACAAGACGATATTATATGAAATTTTTTTACGAAAGAATAGATATATTTTTTGTAAACGTTATATACAGATTTGATCAATATACCCACCTATAATAATGTTGGTAGCATTTTTCGCATAACTTGTATAAACCCATACAATGACCACTGGAATTTCGCATACCAGTATCACGATTCGTCGACCGAAAGTGTCCATCGCATAGACAGCAATAAGACAACCCAGTGGGGCTAACAATGTTATGCTACGCTTGCTGGTGAACATAATAAAAAAAAATTGCATCTATTGACTGAACAGCCTGTGTAATATAAGCATCTAAGACTCTTGCTCTTTGATTGAATAATTACATTTCGTTATCCTATTCATTATGAATATTCCTAATTGAAATTTATCCGAATTTATCCGTGTCTTTTTTGTAAAAGATTACGGAATGGTGATCCTGTCTGCACTAATAGGATACCTAGTACAGGCACCAGTTCTCCACAAATCTGTATTTTTGCATAGAATTTTACATGCCTCAAAGGCTCTGCAGCACTCTATATTATGTATGATTTTGTGGAGAAAAAATAAATATATTATTATTACTTTTTTTATCCAAAAATTCTCATCTCCCCTCTTAAAAACCGCATGGAGATTAATCTATTAAAGTACATTGATACAAAGAAAAGAACAATACAATTATGCAAAATGCAATTTTGTCCCCCTGCCTTCACACTAAATTTGTATTACGTATGTTTTGACATTATGAGTTTTTGCATTTGTTTAGTTGAGGAACACGGTGTCGAATATTGCTAACGAGTTTATATATCTGTATATATATTACAGCTATTATTCCTTCTGATATCTTACATCAATTTTATCCACTTTCTTTTAGATATCCCTAGACGTTACCAATAAATAATGTAAAGTTGTAGACATAGGTATATAGGTTAAAAATTTGTCAAACTGGATTAATCAACGATACGCTGACAATCTAAAATGAAAGAAACGTTATATAAATATTACCCACATCTATCCAAGATTCTTCACTAACATGTCGGATCCTGGCGCCATAATTTGAGGTATTGTTACTGCTGAAAATCCCATTGCTAGTCCAACGTTCACCCTTGTTAAATTAACCCACACCGCATACCCTAACTGGATCCATGAGGTTTTTGACCAAAATCCAGGGTGCATGCAGACCCTGCTGTTCCATTTCTACTCACAGTCTCCGCCGCATAAATTAAACATTCGTATGAAGCTGAAATGGGTCGCTAGTAATAACAGTGCTAAGACAACGATTACTATCGAATTAAGATTGTACTACATTTGGTAGTAGGTTACAAAAAAGATTGGCATCTTATTTAGTACGGGTAGTGTACAATAATATATGGATTTATATGTATATATTATATAATTTCTTGACGCTTAATAAGAGACGCTACGTGGCATGGTCATAATATTAATTTTCGTTAATAATACTATTAAAAATTATATATAGGTATTATTCCTAATTAAAAACAATGCAAATAAATCGTAGTTTTCCCATATTTCTTCTAAATTTATATTTCTCATATTGTACTTCATCTATAGTTGATATTTATTAGGTTTTCCTATTGTATGCTTCTGGATACACATGTGGTCTTGTATACTTATTGTTATCAAACTCAGCAGTAAAGATAGGCTTCAGTTTCTTGCCAATTAGTTGACGATTGATATTTTCTTCCAAGTTTGAGAGAATCTTCAGCAACGTTCCTCGTGAAATGCCTCTGAATTCTATGCCGTCAGCAAACTTCACAGGACCTTTATGCATAATAACATTTTATATGTATATATGTACATCCTAACTAATATGTAAATGCAATAGTGAATTTGTTAGTTTGTTTGTTAGATACGACAATAATCTTGAAATTTGGAGAATACCATATATTTTAGTCCCAGTCAATTATGATGAAGCAAGTATAATTTCTGAAATGATTAAATAACTAAATTTGATTTATTTTTCATTTATCTAGAACTACAGGATGCAGACAACGCTTAAAAGCGTTTGTCTATCAGCCACTAATATTATATTCGTATATAAAGTACCTTCGTTATCATGTTTGGATATTTATCACTCAACCATCATTCCAATATCATTTATATATAATCATATATACAAGTAAAATACTCACGTGCATTCCGATTACTGTCGGTAGCTTGACTATTCCAACACAACAGTAGAATACAAGAAACATAGCTTGCCAACTGCATATTCAGCGCAATCAGCTTATATTAATGAGTTTACAAACATCGATAAATGGCTGTTCGAGCACTTATTACTTCAGTTAGTATCAAGAGCAAAAGACCAAAACGATTAAAAATGCTTCACAATGATTACTTTTAAAGAGTGTATGTATTCGTACATCACAAGAGTGAAAAACATTTTTCTTCAACAGACTTGCTCGTCAAGTGTATAGTGTACTGATATTTACTTCCTTACTTCACTTTCTGTAGCCAACATTCTTTTAAATATATATTCACTTTTGTATAATCGTTTTGTTTAATATTAGTATTAATAATGCAAATTCCAAAATATCTGTTACTTTTCACTACCAAATGATTGAAAGTATCGCTAAAAAGAAGTGCATATGGGTTGTACTTCTAGGACGGATACCTTTGTTTCTTAAAGAAGCACACGAATGCGAAGATAATGTTTAATATTACATATTAGTAAAAGAAGATTATAGTTCTTTATTATTATAATAAAAATTATAGGATAGATGAATTTATAGATATCAATATATACAAGTATAAGTTTATTTGCGGCCAACGTTATAATTTATTTTTCATATTGCTTTCTTGATATATGATAGCGTAGCGGCTTCTGTATTAATTGCCGCATGCATCCTCATGTAAAGTGCAAATACTGTAACTACCATGTAGTAATTTTTGTAGCTGTAACGTGGTCGAGTGGAATGAGTAGTCATGCTCACTAAAATGTCCAGACATGTGGCGGCGTGGTGGGCCGGGTCACCTAAAATAACCAGTGAAACATTAAACTGGTCTGCTCTTATGACTGATTTAATGTTATTGTGGTTTTATATTTTTTAAATAAATTAGTGCTGGGTGGTAGTTTGTATTCACACGTTTCGACTTGTCAAATGTGTCTACAAGGATTGTTTAAAAAAGCAACACACAATTTTATTTTGATGAGACAGCTTTCCAAATAAGCGGTAGATTTAAAAAAAATGTTCTTAAGTTAAGTTTATTTGAATAAATCATTCTATTCTATTGCCTCTTGTTCTTTTCATCCTGCATTAAAATCAATTCCTTCAACTTTTATAGAAAGCCAACCATTAAAATATGGATGAAATTTAATTTTAAATAATACGACATTTAAATTGTCTCATATTTTATTTTATGAATTCGATATGTTCATCAATTTGGTTGTAAATAGAACACTTATCACAAAATGCTTCCTTTAACAACACTCGGTCTTCGTCTATCTAAAATATACGTATAAAGTAATATACTGGTATTTATAATTTACATTAATAATTTAATAATAATGACAATGATTAAAATGCTTCCCTATACAATGAAAATTTAAACTATAACTTAAATAAATAAGGTCACATTTTGATGATTACCATCTGAAGAAATGTGCCTATTCATTTTATTCAATCTACAGTTAAATCTTATTACTACCGACGCTGGATTTTGAATTGTACATGTAAACAGTACTAACGTAAAGAAAACAAATTTTTAACACATGTATGCTATGGTATATACTATATTTATATAAATATTTTAAAGGTCAAGATAATTTTAAATATGAGAATATTTCATACACACGCCTAAATTTGTCTTATTTTAATACTTATAATAAACGAAGTTATGAACAATGGCACATACCTAGCTACTAATACTAAAAAAATAAAACGTAATTACATTAATATAAAGTGAAACAGATATTCCTATAAGTAATTTAATAATACTTGATCGATAAAATTTATGCACTGCAGTATACCTATCTAGTAATTTAGAAATAAAAGGCAACCTAGTCCTATCTGGTAGATATATCCTTGTCTAATAAATCGGAAAGCACTCTTTCGTACAGAAAATATGTATAAAATATATTTATTTAATTAACTTTTTATAATATATATTCACAACATTGTACAGAATATAATTTAAAGTATTTAATTGATATATAAATTCTCTAAAAACCTTGTTTAACTTGTTTAAAATTAAAATGTACCGATATTGAATATCGTAATTATCAATTGAACAATATCTAGTTTTTTAAATATGTAGATGTTTTTGGTTACAACTAAATATATATAAGGCACAATTATGTAACTATATTCATTAATTTGATCATTATCGATTTTATTTACATATAAATATTATATTATTATGAGAATACTCATTAAAATACATACCTAAAACTATACTAAATATTTAATGAAATTTACAACACGTTATATCAATTTAAAATACAACAGGTAATTCATATTAATCCAAATCTTTGCCATTTACAACGTTTATTATTCTAATTAATAAGACTCATTTTCATATCACATCGCTTTGAAATTTCTTAGATCGTCTTAACACAGCCCTATTCAATTCAGAAAACAATGTGGTTCCTGTTAATCGTGTCGAATGATTATGGTATATTCTATAAGTGTAGTTACATCATGATATGGTAAGTATAAATATAAACCGGATCGAATTAAGTATAATGCTTAATTCGATTGGGTTGTGCTAAAATGTACACTCGATATTTTTTTAATTTATTAACTTCGTTATTTCAGAATTTTGTTCTACACAAAGCGAATTTAATCATAATAAAATTACTGGGATCAATTCATTAACTCCATATAAGACATATCACCATAAGTGTATTATAAAAAACACACTAAAGTATACAGTCGGAAATCGGTTGAAAAGATTGCGACCTGCTATACTTATGGTAGAAAAATAAACGTAATCACTAAATATAAACCTAATATACAAAAAAATAAACCTAGACACATTCATATTATGCATAATTATGTGGAGTGTAATTAAATGAAAATAACTCTTGACAAAGCACGGTGTGCCACAAAAAACAACATATTTAAGGATGTCTATCAGTTATCTTATATTTTATATACATTCATGATTATATCTAGATCAATACAAAATAATGTAATCACGAAAAGAAAAGTTTGTATCCTACGGGAATCATGCCTGGACTATCGAAAGTAATGCTGTATGTTAAACATCCAGACCACCAAGCTCGTCTGTACTAATTGTACACTATAATTATAACTAATATAGTGATCGATGACAATAAACCATACTATTTCATAATATATAATATACATAGGTGTAATGAAAACCTAGTATGGGTCAATGAAGTTATTAAGACCAGAAAACAATGACTACCATGTCATCATGAGTGATCATGTGATCACTCCCGTTCTCGACAATGTCTATCACATGACTGGTCATGTTTTCAATGCAATTATACATATGATAATAATAAATATAATAATAGGTCCAATGCTAAATTTGGATTACGTATAATAACTCTAACTTGCGTTTTATAAGTTGTTAATTTTGTTATTGAAATCACAAAGAACCTCGATTAGACGATGAATACAATATGGCCAGCAACGGATAATTTTGAAATTTTAAAATCTATTCTAAATATCAATTACAATCCAATTCAGATTTGTACCAGTGTTTTTAAGACGAAATTAAAGTGCCCATACCGATAAATTCAATTAAAAAGTTAGTACGAAGTAAAAGTGCAAAAAGGTTTTAATCTCGACTGACTGGAAATGATTCCAATAGTAGACTGATAAAGATAAATATATAAAGTATGTGACCATGGTAACGGTTATTAAACGATTTTAATATACATTTTTCAATACATAAGAAAACTTCTAATAAAGTCTCCTTTCACTTACACTAACTATATACACTAATTTGTAATACAAATTATGTTGACCACTTTACCGAGATACTTTTTGTCCGTTCATTACAGTTACATATTTTAGAGTTTCAAAACAGTATTCAAGACAAAAATGCCAAAATGCTCATAATATCTATAATACTAGTATAACACTCGTTGCCATCAAAATACATGTCGTAACACATGTTCGTGTCGTGTTCACGATTTGTATGACCATAATCACGACATGTATATAAAAAACACAAGCAAAAAACCTGTTTTATCACCATGTATAAATCTTTGTATACAGAGTTACTCGTAAAAGGTATACGGAGCTGAAATTCAGTAAATGGAATACTCACGAAAATGAGCTATTTGCAACAAGAAATAAAGTTTAAATATTAATTTTGTATTTTCCAAACTAAATCGGTCGCGTAGTGGCGCAGTTTATATGAAGGTTTAAAATTTTCTACCATATTCCTTGGCGAAAGTGGTTCAGTTTCTTATGAAACTGATCTTCTCTTTACGACTAACCCTGTTTGTACAATCTATGTAATATATTAGACATGTACATATATAATACATGTCCACGTTTTAAGAAACGCAATATAATACCTTATCAAGCTGTATCAGATATGTTATTCTTTTTTAACGATTTCGTTCTACCACAAAAATAATCTTCTATTTCTTGTAGTGTTCTTCCTTTCGTCTCCGGTAAGAATAAGTAGAAGAAGATGGTTCCTGGAAAGACAGATTTTTATATAGAAACATAAGAAATAGCAGATCACGTCGACGTCTATTTTGTATTCATTTTCATATAGAAATAACGTTGATTTTACTTAAAATCACAAAGAAATGTATAACCAAAAATTTATTATAACATTTGCCATACATTTAAACAAATTGATGAAATTTAATTAAATGATACCTATATTATTAGGTTAGTCCATAATAGAGGCCTCATTCATTCATTTATAAATTAATAGTGGCGTAATTATAAGTTACGTAAAATAAATATAGTGACCAAACGTTTATTTTGCTTATGGCTATAAAATAAGTAGAAGACGAGATATTTCATTGTCAAGAAATTTTCACTGTCCGTCCACTAAAGAAAATAATTGACGGCCTCGGTAGTCTAGCGGTTTAGCACACCACTTTACTTTGGATCGCGGGTTCGATTCCTCACACGATAAAACATTTGTATTTATGAGTACGATTGTTTGTGTTTGTCTACTACTCAAAACTCAAGCTCTGCTTAGCGTGAAACTAAATGACGGTGTGTGAATTGTCCAGGTTTAAAAAAATAATAATGAAAACATACAGAAAATATTTGAAATATAAACATTTTTCTTTAAACATATCTATTATTAAATTTATAATATAAGTGAATGAAAACACGTTGCGTATTTTAAAAAATATAAGCGAACAGACAGCGACAGCGACTTCGTTTTATACTATGTATAGATGTGTCACAAATACCTAAATGGTACCTAATATGCCTTATCTTTGTTACAATTTCTATCTCATTTCTGCAATAAATTATTAATTTATATTATAATTTACTGTTTATTATTATTGAGTTGTTTATTTATTTGGGATACAATCTGTTTTACAATGTTAGTATTTAAGTACATTAATACGAATTAATAATAGCAAAACCAATACAGATAAGATGATGGTTGAGTAAGGCATATAATTATTTTGTACGTATGTTTGTCACATAATATATCCTAAACAGATGAACTGATTTCGATGATATCTGTGTATTATATTTCAATGGGTTCCCGAATAGTTTCAAAATAAAGTTGGACCAGTGCTTTTCCGGGCAGGTTAAGTATAATAACGTTAATAGTAAAATTCTGAAGAAAAGATTGAAATTTAAGTATGTTCATCTTTACATACTATAAAACAAAGTCGCTTTCGCTGTTTGTTCGCTTAGATCATTTAAACTACTTAACGGATGTTAATGCAGTTTTCAGCAATAGATAGAGTGAGTCAAGAGGAATGTTTATATGTAAAATACATGTACATCCATGCGATGCCGGGGCGGGCTAATTTATAATAGATAAACTTAAAAATATACTTTACAGATTAAAAAAAATAGTTCACGTTAGCTATATATTGCGAGTAACGTCGAGTACTACGGAGGTAGCGTAGTATTCGACGCCAGATAGTCATAGCTATGGAATAACGTATTATGTTAATTTGATAAAACTCACCAACTAAAGACATGGAGCCGTACAAAGCAAAGGTCCCGTAATCATAGAGGGCCTCATTGAGGTATGTGAAGGTCTTCACAACGGAGAAAACGGAGAGATGAGCGGCGCAAGTCGTCAAACCACCCACTATTCCACGCACCTGAAAAATTTTGACACATAAGAAAACAGTACTGAATTCTTGCAGCTACTACCTTCATATGTAGGGATTGTATATAATAATATACGCCTGTGTTTCAAACGTTGAAGTTTGCTTTTGAAGATTGAAAGTTTGCTTTTTTTCGGACTACTCCAATGCTGTTGGTCGCTATTGACATTTATAGCTTCACCGTGATAGGCGAGTGCAAATGGCACTCCAAACCAGGACTTATGGAGTGCCTGAAGGCCATCTCCTACCTGAAGGATACGTCTTTAGTCTGAGGGCGTTGCTAGGGGTTCGAACCTCGGCTTATAATAGGCCGTCATAATTTCAATCCCCGTTTCAATTGGACGGGGGATCGATTGGAGAGGTGTGCATGTGAGATGAAAGTCTTCGCAACTATTACACGTACGTGAAAAAAAAATATTTTTATTATTGTTTATATTTTTATTACATTATTATATTACTGTTTTAGTTCTAGCTATTTGCACTTTAGGACAGTTCTCCTAATTTTACGGAGCCAAAACAACCTGTCCTGGATTGTCGAGTTGGGCAATTTTTTCATTGGGATAAGATTATTTGAAAGTTAAATGGATAATCTAAATGAACCTTCAATTAATCAATCATAATGACATTATTACGAAATGTAGACATTCAGTTATTTCGGTTGTTAGACAAGCCAATATAATATCTTTATATTATACATATATTATATTACATACACATATGTATAATATATGTAATATAAATTATGTAAACCCATAATTTGCATTAATTTTACCACATGAATTATTGTGAATACAAACTTTAACGCAGTTGGTTTCGAAAAAAATAAAAAAAATAAACATTCATATTTCTATACAAATATTATAACTACCAAGGTTTATTTGTTTATCTATTGATTACGTTTCCACGACTAAATATTGAAAGGATTTCTATATGTGAATATTCTCAAAAAAGTTTAAGTCGCGTGTAGACTAGTATTTAATTTATATTAATAAACAAACACTAGAGTACATCTCTCTCACCTGCGTTGGATAAACCTCTCCAATCATAACCCATGGTATAATTAAGTAGCCCATCGTACAGCATATGATGAAGATGAAGATGCTGGCGACGGGGATCCAGGAATGCATCGGAATTATATCATTCTGCTTCCAATAATGCACAAAATACATGTACACGGATAAAATGAGCATAGTACTTCCACAACCTAATGCTGTAAATGAAAATAAAACGCATTATCAATCACGTTACTTAAAATATCTACTTACTCGTATAATTACTTTATAGGGGTGATAATTACAGTGTAGTCAGTTTTATAATTTTGAACCAAAAAGGATGCAACTTTTACGGTGCAACTTCGTCCGAAGTTTCTGAACTAAAATATATTGTAATTTTGCATTTAATGAATAGTTCATGTACGTAAATATTACAGCTAAAATAGACTGATATAACACAGTTTTTTTTTGAAAACTCATGAAGGGGTTTCATCCTATATTTATAGTCAAAATTTATTTCGAATGTTTATTCACTTTAATATTTCATAAAATACCTTTTTACTCGTTAAATATCAACTATACCTATAGATAAAGTTAATCGATTATTTTTTATTGGAATAAGAAGCCATTCCGGCTGAAGCTGTCTGAATATTTCAGTCAGAAAATTACCAATCTCTGAATAAATCTTTAACCGCCTCGATGGTATAGATATGGTATATATATATATGATGGTTCAGCGGTATAGAGCGCCGTTTTACTTCCGATGGTCTCGGGTTCGATTCCTCGACCGGTACAAATATTTGTATTCACCATTGCTTGTATTGGTAAACATAGAAAAAATATAGTGTTCTATGTATATACCTTTTTAAAAAAGTATCGAAGCATGTATATCAGTAATCTGGTAATAGTAGTAAGCAGAACTTGTGTTATGTGTAGGACATAACACAAGTTCTGCTTATCTTGGGAATAAATGACACTATATGCATTTATTATTAATAATATCTCTATGTATTTATTATTGCATAAATGTATACATATATATTATACTTTCTATATATCTTCTATACATACATGTGTATGATATCTTACCAGAAACAAATGTCAGAGGCCGTCGACCGCATCGTCTGCAGAGCACGCATCCCACCACAGTGAAGATGACTCTAATTATACCCAAAGATATTGTCAGATAAAACTTGTCAAACTGCGCCCCTGATGCCTGTAACGACAATTTGAAAATTATGAATGATACCTAATTAATTTATTAATTAATTAAAATTTTAATACAACTGTGTGTTTACAAGAACATCCATGACAATAGAATATAATAAATAGAATCTATTGATTTCAAATATAATTATGGCTATAATGCCACGTGCTGATTTGAAATTTTTAATTTAAAATATATTGAATTTTATGCTTCTTATATTAACTTTACTAACTACCAAACTATACACACCGATAAGTTGGTGTGGTGAGATAATGGTGAGTAACTAAATTTAACTTTTTACTTCAAATAGCAAAAAAAATTCAAAATAACGATCTAAAGAAAACAAAACATAATGTCTAAAAGTCTAACAAAAGCCGAACACAGTTTATATTGACCGGACACGCAATCAAAAAGCCTAACTATGTCTGACATTATCCGGACGCCTAGCAACCGTACATGTGACAATGACTAATAATCAATAAAAATTTGCAGTAAATATAACACTCACCACAAAAACGTCAACCGCATAAAACGTAATAGTATTGACACCGGACCACTGATAGATGAAGAAGTATACTGCTAGTATTGTGAAAGGCTTCAATGCAGACGGTGACATCAGCGCTTTAATAATCTCACGAGGCGATTTTAAACTATAAAACAAAGTAAGAGTAATGGTTATACAAGAAGAAAATTAATAAATTTATCTCCACGATGATCTAAACAACGTGCAAAATTAGTAGTGTTCCATTACTATGTAACACTTAGAATTCGAATAAAGAAGGTGTACATATATTATTACATTCATTTAATTCCATTTCATATAATAATAAATAATTGTGTTATAATTAGATTTACAAAATTGTTCTATTTTGTTAATATACACAATTATATATTATTATATGATCTCTCAGTGTTACGTGCTTTATCGGTATATAAATTATATTACACAAAAACGTCAGTATCTTAAATTGCATACGTCTCTTTATCAATTAAAAAGTCTTACATCTCAAAAAAGAAGAATCGTGTAAGAAATCATTTGTAGTAGTATAGTTAAGATCAAAAGAGGACTGATTATGTAAAGCTGTTGCAATATATATTTTTAACAGATAGGAATAGCAACTAAATCAAATGCAACCATAAGAACAAGTTTTTAATAATACTTATTATAATACAACCTTATAATGAAGTTCTTTCAAAACATAACAGCATTACACTTTCACAAATATTCAGATAAGATATTAGTGAGAGTAAATAAGATACTCGCATATTTGGTAATGATTATTTTTCAGCATATTATGTTCGTATATTCCTACCTATATAAGGTACAGATTATATGGCTACCTTTGTACTCCTGATGAGTCGTTAGCGTTGTAAGCTGTTTTTCAATATTAAGGGTATAATACCATAGTCTTCAGTAATGGCAACTTATAAAGGTTAATATGAGCATGACGATGTAATGGCGTAGTTCTGTTCATGTAGGCACCGGTTGCCACTTTCCATTTGATGGGTCGTAAACTTGTTTGCTTGGATTTTGCATTTGTTTGAAATATCTGAGTGAGAATCATAATCTGAGTGTACACTGTACAATCAATAACGCTTCCAGTAACCGAAAATATCCGTACTGAATAGTTGTGTTTACACATATACTAATAGTCTAAATAAAATAAATCGCAAATGGTAGTGGAATTAAAAAAAATAAAGCCATTAATTAATGAAATGTTCTTCCGCAAACATTTTATGTACATTAAATGTAAATAGTAAAGTTGGAAATCAAAGTGATTTACTTACGGTTCGACATGGTTCTTCTCTTTAAATGCAATCATCTTGTCTATTTCTCCTTCAAGATCGCAAGTGGATCCCCTTAACTTGGTGAGAGCCTTTTCTGCTTTCTCTTTGTTGTCGTGCGAGAGAAGATAGTTGGGAGTCTCAGGTAGGAACAGCATCGTCAGTAATGATAGTATAGGAATCGATGCACTTATACCGGCCAGTATATTCCATGATGTTATACTACCAATAACGTACTGAAAATATGATAAAATTTAATAAATTTCTGCACATATAGAAATCATAGTTGTTAACGACTAGCCGAAAACAATTCTGATATTTTTATTGCTTTTAAATTTATATTTATATTTTTATGTCATGTTTTTTGATGTTTCAATTATTACTACATTGTCTTTTTGATAGTTCGCAGCTGTATATTAATATATTTTACTATCATAATCTACGTGTTTTCATCATTTACACACTCATATCTACAGTCCACCGTTCGTTACAATAGTAGTTCTGAAGATTTTTTTACTTGCAGAACTCATAGTTTATTTCGGATATTTAGATATTTACAATTGTATTGAAATCTGTGATTGACTTTGTTTAGTTATAATTTTTTTTATTACATTATTAAATAAGTACTCACGTGACAGATATGTATAGGGCATATTCAGTTTGTATATTTGAACTAATTTTATTAATATGACGTTTTTAAAGAATGCGTCTAAAATATTATTATACTTGCACGTTATTTACGTAATAAGACAGATAACATCAAAGAGTCCTACCAATGACACTAAACCTACGTTCGTTAGTAATATTCTATCCTGAGACACCTATTAAATTCGGCCGGGTTGTAACAATTTTAATAAAAATATTTGCCAAAGATGGTAATGTTGTAGATTAAATATTATTTCCCAGTGATAATTCTGATAATATTATTGTTAACCTATTCATATTTAATTGCTGTAGCACGGGAAGTCGTGAGTACTGATAAGTTTGTGATCTATGCGAGTATAAAATTAGACTAACAGACACACAAACAAGGCATGTGTTTACAATATTGTGACCGATAGTTTGCACGGTACATTTATAACAATGCATGATATAGTAATCTAAGCGTCCTGCCGAGCCCACCATTTGCGGTGACAATATTGCTAGTTTTAAATTGATTGTGGAAACATGTGATGTAGAAATACGTAGATCACGCATGTCACGTAGAGTTTGATTATTTATTTATTTATTTTACTTTATTATATATTTATTTAATATATACACACGGAGATTACGTACATATTCGATTATTTATTTATGTATTTTTAATCTATCATATTAGAACTTTATTTTATTATACAGAGTTTCGTCTTAAGTTTCTATTACCTTTTATACATACCATTATATTAATACGTAAAAATAACTTTGTAGCCCTTTTTATGATAATTGCGAGTAAAAAGTTTCGCACACTTATGTATATAGAAGCGCAGAAAGCCAATATTTTTCTATTAATTATGCATAAAAAATACATTAAATCAATAAAAAAATATTACACACACGCAAATATAGAACCTTAATAGTGTTCAAACGTATATTTATAATAATTATGGTCTAATTAACCATTGGGCGACTAGTTAATTAAAACATCCGTTTTATATCATGCTCATTTATTACTCATTGAAATAAATGAGCATGATATAAAACGGATACTAAATTAAAACAAATGAATGCGTTTTGTATAAACCAAATTTAATACATTCTGAATATAAAAATAGGTTTCACATATACATCAATTAATTATACAAAGAATAGAATAAATTTTGTAAATGGTCGTCGGAGTGGGGACCTTATTTTCGTCTGATTCTAGTTGCGATATGGCAGTGAAAGTACAGGACATGGACATATATCAGTTCTCCGGAATGGCAACATATGTGGGAAACTTACTATAAGAGTCACTTGACAACCTAATGATAGTGCGATATAGGCGACAGCACCAGATGGTCCGTCAACTTGTTTCCCATTCCAATTACTATATATAAATAAAAGACTATGAATGACAAAGGAATATGGTTGGTCTTACCGGCACCAATGGCATACGGTGCCGGTGATAATACCAGGAAAATCATGACCAAAAAATGATCAGTTTTATTTCATAATAGTACATAAAAGTGTTATTAAAGTTCATATTGACTAGAAGAAAATATTGTCACTTCGCTCATGCAAAATTTCCTTCTTCCAAATCATTTATAATTCCAATTTTACTTTTCTATATTTCAATTCTAGTCACTAAATCTAATGACGTGTTCGTTGCCTTGATTCGGTAGCTACATAGTCAATTTTCTTATAAATAGATTAGTGTAAATAGTAATTATAGAATTTAAATCTACTCGGCTAAATTCGGCGCAATATACGTCAGCTATGTATCAATGAACATTCGTTATTTTTAAATCTTTATCACAGAATTTATGGATGTACAGACTGACGGAATGTTTGCATATAATAACTGATAAGCATGTGATGTATACCCAAGCTGTATAGCTGTGGGTGACAAATTTAATTTTATATGTACATCAACAAACGTTCTATTACTATTATCACTATCACGATAACTAAAACGGCACGCCGCGTGCTCGTTTAATACCACGATATATCTACATTATATATACTTTTATGTATATATATTTATAAAACAAAGGACAATAAAGTATACGACTTTTCTTATTGAGATTAAAACAGCGGGAGGTAAACTATACTTCCATAATAATGTAAATATAAAAATGTGTCTGTTCATTTGTTGCTTTTCCATGACTAAACAGCTCTATCAAACTTAATGATATACAAAGTCTGGCAATCAATACCGTGACAATTAAAAATAAACAAAATATTACATTTGAATTTGGAATCTGTCATTCTTTTATGAACTTGTGTTTTTTGTTTTCGCGCCAAATGATTATCAAATATTTGTGTGATATTAAAATGGAGTGGGGTGATAAATAGTACTGGTGGTCAGTTTTAGAGAGTATGGCATGCTCTAAACGCCATTGCACAATTTGGAGTGTCTAAAGCACTCCATAAAATTGCAGTAAATAATTTTCCCATAGACAGATTTTGTGCTTCTATCGATGGACTATGCAGCCAATTGAGATCATTTCGAATAAATTTTATTTATTTTTAATGTTTATATATTAATGTTTTAGCTAACACGCGTTAGAGTAATATAAAAATAAAGATATTTCCTTGTATCAATATTTATGATAAAACTAGGTCTTTAATATGTATATGATTTTTCTTTATAATAATCTGTCGTTGGGTGAAATAAAGAATGATAGTTTATACTGACAAGGTCACGGGTAACAACTAGTATTTTATAAAAATCTATAGACAATGATAAGAAAAGTGCTTTGTCATATTTTTCTTAGAGAGTATATGTGCAGACAAGGTTACAAGGCTACATATTATTATTTAATTTAATTGTAATTAATTTATATTATAAGCATCTAAGAAAGGCAATTTATCATTGAGATAAAAATAGAATTAACAGTTGTCAACAAAAGTAAGTCCAAAAAGAAATCATTGTTTCGTTTTATAAATAAGTAATATTTTTCAGTGTTAATACAAAATGCCATCGAGTAGTAAAGCGAAGATATTTATTTAACAGTACGATAGATAAGAATAAATCCACATGATGTAAATATTATAATCCTCAGAGTTACATTTTACTCGTATAATATAAAAAACGATAATATTCTCAGCTGCACTATAACAACACATATGTCTTTATACTGTTAGTTCTTAATTTGTATTTTATATTTTTTCCTTTTGGTGTAAAATATTATAGTTTATTTTATGTACATACGAACTTAGAAATGGCAATATTGACAAAAGAAATATATAATAATAGCGTAGATAATAAAATAAATCTGTCATAGTTTTCAGAGCAGACCATATTGAAATACAGAGACGATACCTCTTACTATTATAACGTAGTTACCTTCTTTACATAGTAGAAAATTAATTCGCTTCCGTTGTCTGTTCGCTTAAATCTTTTAAACCACGCAATAAGTGTATCTAAATTTCAATATTGTAAAATTATTGTCTCTTTGGCCTAAAATCAATAGAGCAATATAATTTCATTCCATGAAAGCACCTCATAAGTCACTTACAATAACTTACTTGTATCAGAACACCGGTTGAGACTCCGACCGACGCTAAAGCTCCGAGCATTCCGCGCAAATGCGGTTGAGAAACTTCACATGTGTAAACCCTAGCTGGAGCACCAACCATACCAGAACCAAAACCTATTAGTAGCCTGCCTGTAAATTAACAAAACATAAATTTATTTAAATAATTTATGAAAAGAAGAAAATAGTAAAGGAGACAGAACAAAAATATCTATCTATATACTTCACAGTAGATCAAACAAAAAATATAATACGTAAAAGAAATATTTATTCATTTAACTTTAATACACACAATACAAAATATACATAGCACAGTACATTTGGCGTACTTAGCACCATCCGGCAAATATTCAGTGTTCTCTTATCATAACACGTTAGATTTAAAGCAAAGGCATTATTTAGAAATGAATAACAAAATATTGAAGATAAGTGTTCCCCCAATAAAGCTCGGACGTTTGTTAGATAAAATTAATCAATATCATAATGATTCCGACGCAAATTTTTATAACATTAATATCAGACAATGAGACGAAGTGCTCTTTATCCTCTTCACAGGAGATTATTAAAGATTTCAATCAGGTCTGCCTTTATACGATTCTAACTAGACATCATTATACCATAGTTAATTGATAGTAAAATCACCAAGACGCATACTAAATGACCAGTTTTAATATTTATCATTTCATCATCATATATATGTACATCATTAGTGTAGACGATATCACTATTTCATTACCACTCATCATCTTAAAATGCATATGAATGCGTTACGCCATATATTTAATATATTACTAAATATGCAACAACTTCTTATCTCCTATCTTATCTCCTTATCTCTTACCGATATATATCATAGGTATATTCTGTGCAGACGCAATGAGTAGCCAGCCCAGGATAAGTGGCACTTCTGTTATAATAAGTGTTAGACGGCGACCAATGGTGTCCATTAGGTAACCACTGAGAATACATCCAACCGGCGTTCCAGCTGCACTTAAACTTGCTGAAACAATTATAATAGCTATAGATTAAAATGCTACTCTAAATTAATACGGTGAACAAAATTAATTCGGCCTGAGCCGAGGTTCAAACGCCTAGCGGCGGTAACGCCTAAATCGTATCCTTCAGGAAGGAGTTGCCTTCAGCCTCGCCATAAGTCTTCCGCGGATTAGGAGTGTTATCTATACTCGCTTCCTAGCATTCGGCGAAGCTGTAAAGACCAACTGCAGTCAACAGCATCAAAACAGTTCGTAAAATATTCTCAAGAAATGACTTTCAGCGTTATAATATAAGAAAATTAGATGCAACAACTTAAAAAAAACTGACAGCTAATTTTAAAAGCTTTTCCACTAGCGTATATTCAGTATTTTCCGCTATACTATAAATATTATATTAACGATCACCAAAGTGTAACAGTAAGTGCTTTACGTAAGTGAAGTCCCCGGGTTTGAATCTTAGTGCTGCCAATTTTAGAAATTCTCATTTACTATTGGCCAGTAACCAGCAACATCCGACTGTTCTGAGATGTTACAAAAATATTATATGTTATACAATTTCTTGTAAAAACTTGCAAATTTGTGTGGCAACCGTCACTTGATAGACCTCATGCTTTGCCATTACAGAGAATTAAGATATCATACTCGTCGTAATTTTCCTTAAACTGCCTACTCCTTGCCCTTCAATAGTAAGGCAGTAATATCTACACAGTAGGGGGAAGGGGATTGTTAGTAATGTGCACTCTTGACCCTATTACTAGCAATGTACCATGTTAGGTTGACCTCCACGCGGTTCCCCCTGGAAACCATCGTGATAAATTCCTGGTGAATTTGTCACGATGGGCTAACTGACCTGACCTCATGCTATATTCATCTTATCATCCTCCACTGGTGCCCCGCCAGCGTTAACGGTTTACGCAGGCGGTTAAACCATTCCATTATCATCCATAAAAAAATATCTACACAGCGAACTTAATATCAAAGTTAAAGTCTTCATATAAAGTATAAATAAAGAATAAAGACAAAATACAACGTAGTTCAGTACCTATCCAGCTGGCTTCATTGTCTGTTATAGGTATTGTAGAATCTGGGCTTTTAAGTTGAGGCAGAGATGTTGCGGAGAATCCAAATGCCATGCCAGTATTAATTGTACCCAAGTTGGCAACAAAAGATGCCATGACTTGCCGGAAAGCCTTGCCTCTGCCAGCTTTGCTGGACAAAGGAGGGCCCATCGGTAATGGCGTTTTGGTGACAATAGGTGATGTTCCATTCTTGAGGAATGGTGTTGAATCTTTTCTGAAATTAAAGAAATAGATAGGTTAATATGTAAAGTATAAAAAAGAAGTAAGTACCTACATTAGTGAAATTATAGTGTAAGGATGCTTGATATCTTATTTCTCAGGAATGAAAAAGCATCATGGCAAAGGATATTATGGCCGTCACTTAAAGATTTGGTATAAATATTGGTAGTGTCATTGTTATATATAAACGAATTTTGCCGTGTCATTAGGTGCCCAGTTATCTTCTTTGCCATTCCACTAGTATCAAAAAGGAGAATCCATCAAGGATTTTTATTATTAGGAATATATTGTACCTCTATAAAATACCTATTCAATATTTCATTAGTAGTATTATTATGAAACTTGGGACCAAAACCTGTTGATTATAATAATGAAATCGTAAAAATCTGACAAGAACGGGTGTAAGATACATACAGAAAAATATGCGTGTTCATAGTTTAATATAATCGAATACAAATTAACTTGTACATGTTGTATAGAATTTTAAGACTAATCTGTGCAAGAAGGTACCTATATTACATGATATAATAATTATTATTATATTCAGTTTTGATGTGAATATAGGTATTTTATTATAATATAAGTAATTTGGAGATATAATTATGTAGAACGGTATAAAATAATTAAGAATTAAGAGCACAACAATTAACAGCATGTCTGCAGAAGACGCCATTTTGTAGTTTTTCTTTTTCCCGCGTAAACGTAATGCGCCACAGATGCACAATATTGCACGGCCGCAGTAGGATTACGAGAGTGTCATAGCTGTATGCGCGATGTTAAATAGTTTCAGTAGATATTAACATAGTGAAAAATAAATTATAATACAGAAGGATCTTGAAATCTATGTTGGACTGTTTTACATTATTTAATTATTATCATTAAACTTTTTATTTGTCCAATCCTAAATGCGCTTGTAAACAAAGCTGTTTGCTTAAAGATTACTTTATCTTACACCACAGACTGATAATGTAACATTCTATGTACATACGTTTAGTTGTTTAACTTTACATATTTATTTATATGAGTTTATCATTATATATTACCTAGGCAACTGGGCTCAGCATCAAAATAAAAAAGCATTATAAATGTTATTTGCTATTTCCAACCGTCTTCGAAACATAGACTGGTTCTCAAATCGACTGTGTTTTTTTCTTTATTTTTTGTTTCCGTGTTAGCTTAGTCACTTTTACGTGAACCGATTTTTATAATTCTTTTTCATTTCAACGTGGGTGTTTTCATGTAAGCCTATAAAAATAACATATAAATTTTACCAAGCTCTGACAAGAAATTTTTAAGTTATATTGAAATCTTTCTCCGTAGCCTATACAAGACATTAAATACATTGAACATAAGTGCTGGATTATGAGAATTTCCTATCATTGTAAGGAAGGATTTTTTTATTATATAAGCAAATATGTTGTAATTAATCTATATACATAATTCTGCCTCTGAATGAATATCCCATAAGTAATTGTTGTTCAATTTCCTGGTTTGTATATTATGTAAAAAAATAATATATAGATAAATAAATTAAAAGTCAATAAATAAAAATTATATACGAAGATGCACGTGAATTTCGTGTGGTGTGTATCGTGAGTGTGTTTGCTGATTCAGATATTCCAATTGATAATACATGCTTCACAAATATAGGTTTGTATATAGTTTACACAAAGCAGTAACATACATAGGTACATAATCAAGTATACTTATGTTTGCTATATACGGCGGATGCTACTAGGTCGCCAACCTTAAGAGAATCCTCGTTTATATACGAGGTTTTTTGACTTTGGTACGAGGACATTTTAATAATGTTCGAAATTTTGACATATAAAAATCGATCAAAATACCATAACGAACGAGGATAGAAAGTATGAGATTTTTATTTTAATCTTACAAGTCAAAATTATTATTTTTTGTGATTGTTTGTATTAATGTATTATGTAAATGTAATAAATAATACGAGTCAAAATGTTTTAAAGTTGACAACTTTACTACTGATTTCATAAGTCTGTAGTGTCGACAGTCCACTTGTCACACACCACCACTAGTATGATTTAATATATGGCAATATCAATATGTTGCCGTCCTCGGTGGTCTAGCGGTTTAGCACACCACTTACTTCCGATGGTGGGGGGTTGGATTCCACGCAAACATCTGTATGTATATTATGTATCTATTACAAAAAAAACTGTATTTTAATATTTAATCTATTTTCTTGAGACTAGATGTCGCTGTGTTCATGGTTTTTTCTCCTAACATTTTCGTACTTTGGCAGACCAAGAAAATGTGAAGCATAATTTATTATTAATAATTATTATTTTAATCACTAAAACTCATGTTTACATTTTATTTATCATCATATTATCATATTATCTTGAGTTGTGTTTCTCTGCAACTCTGAGTGACGTAATTTCTGTTCCCGTATATTTGTTAGTCATAAAATAAAATGGGTAATATTATTAAGCTACAATAGATCCATGTTTATCACTCAGTAGGGGTTCAATAAATTTTCAATTGTCACTCTATTCAATTAAGTAATCACTTACAACACAGCACTACTGGTAATAACTGTTTGGTTGGTGCAAAGAAATTTAAAAATAACACTCCTTATAACCTTAAACAAAAAAAGACTGTAAATTTTACTATATAATTATTTTAAATTCCCAATTATAATTATTACTTATTTTGAACCTAAACAGAAATATTAATTAATAATAGTATTTTAGATTAACTGCTCAATAACTACATATGTACAATCGGTTTAGTACTCACTACTCACTCACTTATATTAGTACTCCCGATAGGAGTACTAAGACCTGTTAAATTATAAGCTTAAACAAAGTTCTTGCTAAAATGACATTTATAATTCGTTTCATGTAAGTAATTCTCCAAATCATATCCTTCACGAAAATGTAATCATTAGAATTATTTAAGTACTGAAATTACGAAACGTATAAAAAATATAAAATGTAACTTTTCCGAATTAATACCTGCAAAACCGGTCCAGATTATTTGTGGAAAATTACAATTACATTTCCAGTTTGACAAAAACTAAAATAACTATTATTGTACCTGATAATTATTGTACCTGAGACGTACATTTTAAATTTATAATTCAGTATGTACCGTTTTTAAATATCAGGCCAGTGAGTACTGTGTTAATAAAATTAAATAAAAAATCCTTAATTCATGTAGGACATTTTAGCCGCTTATAACGTATTTATTTATTAAGATTTTTTATAGACTTTGCTTATATATTTTAATAAACTTTAACGAACAAACAGGAGTAATAAAATATTTAATTTATACTACTTTATGTAACATTAAAATAAATTCTATATTTATTTCATTATATGCTTTCTAGCAGTATTTTAATGACAATAATTATAATATTAATTATAGTGTGATACATAAATATTTGATAAAAACATATATCCTTGAAATAGTTATGTTAAACCTAACAGTATAATTATTCTATAGCCATAATTAATCGTTATAAATGTTTTATAATTTAATGCCTTATTTATGCAAGAACTTTGGACTAATAATAACAATATACCTGGACAATTCACACAACGCCATCTAGCCATGTTAAATGTACTCGACAACTATTATACTTTGATATTTTTACATTACAGTACATACATAATATAGAAATACCCATACCGATACAAACAATAATGATCATTATTTATATTATTAACCGGGTCTTAATACGAATAATATTATGGCAAATAAAAGTAAAGACCCGGTTAATAATATAAATAATGTATATTAAACACGAAAAATAATATTTTTTAATAAAATGTTTGTGCGAGGATTTGAACCCGCGATCATTGGTGTGCTAAACCGTTAGACCACCGAAGCCGTCTATGACATGAATATGAAAATTATAATGTTACAATGAAGTTAGTTAATTTACGACTGTTTCCAATGTTTCTACAGCTACAAACCCTGAGTGTGCAATTTACAGCTGAACTGGTACATTACAACTGGTTTTATGTATAATTTTCGCATCTTTAACTTATACGAAACAGTAATTTTAAAATAGGTGGAAACATTAACTATTTTATATTTATATATTTTATTTTATTTAATGGTTTATCTTAACTATTCTTTAATAGTTTTTATGTTTTATTACATAAAAAATATTGCCTTTTATTACTGTTCCCATAGGTATCCTATTTATACGAATACTAGCTGTGACATACATAATACACATAGACAAGATATTATGTCAACTTGGCTTATAATAATAAATGTCTATGTAAGTTACTAGTTACCCGCCCCGGCTTCGCACGGGTGTGCATGTATTGTACATATAAACTTTCTTCTGGAATCACTCTATCTATTTAAAAAAAACCACTTCAAAATCCGTTGCGTTGTTTTAAAGATTTAAGCACACATAGGGACGGACAGATAGCGACAGCGACTTTGTTTTATACTATGTAATAATGATAATCCATATACTGGTATTATATATAAATGCAAAGGTGTGTTTGTAGATCGTACTATCTGTCTGTTGCTTTCCACAACTGAATTACTGAAAGAACTTAAACTTAAGAATAAACTATGACATTAATATTGATTTTATCATGATAGCTGACACAGGCACTTTAATAATTTAAGTATATGATAAAAAGCACATGAAGTCGCGTGTAATTACTACTATTAGTATAAACTAGTCCAGATGACACTGAATGTGTGATGTATAAATGTCAAAGGCAAAGGTACCGTAATTTTCCTCAGATTAAATATTGTATTGCTTAATCTAAGTAATTTTCCTACAGTATATTTTATACTGTACATACAATTATCTAGTAAATACTCATTTAAGCATTTAATGTCAGTAAAGAGGTCATTGTAATAAAATATAAATAAAAAAAATAAGTAAAATACATTTACAAACAGATTATCCAAAGCGAGGACTTGCCCTAAAAAGAGCTTGTTTTTTACGAATAACAATTGACATAAAATGATAACGAACAGGTTATC